TTATAATTTATTATATATTATGGAATACGTATTTTAATAACCTATACATGAAATTCCGAATTCAAATTTCCAACCAGTACCTCGTCCCGTCAAAAATTTTTAGAAGACTCCGTATACTTCAATAAGAATTACGGGTATTTGAAAACAAGCATGACTTATTTGTTAAATATTTGTTTATTCCCTTTCTTATTATGTTATACAATGCCAATTTTTTCGTTTTGTAATATGATTCTTATTTATATGGTAAAAAGAATTTCAATCTACTACAGAACTCAAAAATGTTAAAATCTAGAAAGAGAACAAACACAATCATGAACACTGCAAACAAAACTGCTCTATCGGAGGCGTCGAATGATGTTACATATCAAACAAGGCCAGAAAGCCTTTTAAGTTTAAAGTCTTGAAACGTATCCTGGAACGATAAACGACAATCTACAATTGAACTACTTGATATGAAGTATCAAAGTCTGTTGCTTGACGAATTACTCGTAACAGCAGTAGTGTAATAACGACCAGGGGCCGGACGACAGCGGCTGTTTCTTCGCCAGGCTAGAACTGATTACTGTATCCTTTGAGATAACCGACGCATTTAATTGATGGTAGTAGGCACTTACCGGCTTCGATGGTGTCTTCGTCTTAAATTTTGTGCTGATTCTTGCAGTGCACGTTTTGCATGTAATTATTTCACTGTCTGCGGCAACTAGTATTTAACACCAATCCAACGATTCAACTATCGTTCATCAACAGGGAGTGGTCATTCTTGGAGTTCCAGAGGTCTTCTCGATATCTATACGATCAAAGTCATCCTATTTACAGCAATAAGCAGTACTGTTAATTTACAGAACATAAAAATCTGTCGACTATTGTCATTTCAGAGATTCAACAATGTACATTAGTAAGTTAGAACGCCCTGCCTATTATCGCATTCACTAATCACAAATGGATATTGTGAAAGTTAGGAATAACAATCACTGGATAGTAAACAAGTATCAAACAGCCTTATAGCATTCAGCTGATCGGTTGGCGGTGACAATTGCGGTAATACTTGAATGGAAAAGAATCCCGGTGTTCATAGCGAATAACATAAACGGACGATTTACACTCTGTGGCGTCACAACATTAGTAGCGATTGACCGTTTGACATAAATTTGCGTAATTTAAAACAAACTTAACTTTGTACCAAGAGAGATAATAAACAGATAGCCCCCATGATGTGAGGTAGCTAACAAGAATATCAGATTTTCGATTTCTTTTTACCACTTCTCCGGGTTTTCTGTCAATACACGAATAAAATACTCAATTTTTATAAGAAAAATTACTACAACAGTTGAAAGAATGCCAACGTTTCAATAAAAATAAGAAAGCAAACAATGATATAAAAATAAGGTCAATGTCAATCATTTACTTTAATAATGATCGATATTCGAAACACCAATTTTCGTCGACATCCGACGGCGGCATACGAAGTCTCTGGAGAAATTAATTTTTGTCCAAATTTGCTCTGTCGTCTGTCTGCAGTTGCATTTCGTACCCAACGCGACTTTTGATCGCTTTTGATTTCTCTTTCACTTCTCTGCCATTTCCATTTTGATCATCTTTAGCAACCGCAGTCGTTTCTCGCATTGCCTTGAATCTGTCTGTCATAGCTTCATCCAGTTCTCGTAAATCCTTCTCGTCAATTTCAATACGTGTCAGTTGTCGAGGCAGCATGGTCACAAAACCAGCAGCGAAACACTTCGATCAGGGCAACCAGCCGAAGTGAAACCCAACTTTTAAATTCTACAGTTAGCAATACATTTTATTCGCAGGTTTTTTTGCTAACGCCAAACTAGGATAATATCAAATAGTTGTTCTGCACCAAACAGCTTATCCGCGCAGTTCAACGGCAGCAACAATTATCGTTGCTTTATCTATGAAGCAAACATTTGTATCATATTTTAGCAAAACGTGAAAAAATAGAACTAAACGCGGTGGCATCAATGAAAATATCTCATAGCCATAACATCGACCGATACCTCACTCTCACTGACATGAAAAATCATTGAAATCTCTTTTAGAAAAAAATTATGCTCTTGCAGCAGACTCAAGTATGCGAACTTTCAATTTTATATTAATTCAGTAACATGTAAGGGCAATTTTTGAAAAGTTGTTCATGAAGTAGAAATTGCTTCAGCGAATCAAATAATTCAAGATTAACCAATACTGCAGGTACTCAAAAATTATGAAGATGAAACTTGCTTAAATGCTCCTATCAACAGGCAAATAAAAACAACGAGACATTATTATAGGTCGTCAAATTCGATTTCTAAGTAGTCAAGCGCTTATCTGCTTAAAAGTTTGTGACCAAGACACTTAGGTATCAATATTTGATGGTATTCGTTCATTTTATTACTAACTCCAGGATTCTATTTTCTCAAATGGCAACTTACTCGAATCGGTTACTAGCTAAGTACTTCTCGGTTCTCAGGTAAACCGCCTGAATTTCTAAGAAGGGAAAATCAGCGGAAGTTGAAGTGCGGCATGGCCAGCTTTTGTGCATTGAAATATCAATACCCAGTATTGAGCGATCCATACTAGCGAATAAACTTCCGTTTGATTCAACTATCGTACCGGCCATGATCTACATTGCTTACAATTTCCATTCCAGTTACGCTAAGGAAATCCAACTGATGCTGACGCGAAAAGTGATGGAACGAGGAATGATCAAGTTATTCCTCTGTGATCATGCTCCGAACGAACAAATTCGACAGCGAATTTGATTAACAGACGTAACTGTTGCCTTCTAGGATGCCAAGAGATGATGGGCTGGTCATGTGTCTCGTCTGCTGGAATAACTGAACCACACAGTTTAATACATTTGTCGAAGTAAACGTTGGGATCATCCGATGGTCAGATTGTTTTCGTTGTAATGAAGGCATAAAGCGAAGAACATAAAAAGCTGTGAGAGCATAACCTTGTGTTAATAGTGCACTATAACGAGAACAGTCGGGCAACAAATTTTAATGCTGTTTCTGTTATTTTATGCGACCACGTTTATCATTTATGAGCATATATTTTACTACTGCTCTTCTAACCATGGAAAATACTGCTTACGTCACTAACCAAAACTGTGATTCGCATTTTTTGAATTTAAAAAGCAGAAACCTGAGACTGTTCATGAATTTCTTCTGCAACCACCAAATGTTTATCTCACCCAGAGCTTCACAAGATACCATAGTACAACAGTCAAGCAGCCTCATCCTGCCGTTGACAACATGATTCATCAAAAATGTGATTAATTTACCAGACAACAAGTTGCATTGTAAAGTGTCAAATGCTACAAATTTTAACGTCGTGAATTCCGCAATAGATGTATTTATTTCTATCTGCAAAATGTTCATGAAAATTTTACGTGATTTAATTGAATTTCCACTGCTAATTACTTACATCCATGGTTGTGTGATATTTTTATTAG